AAGAACTTCAGAAAGTGTTTTTTGTATTGAACAATGAAAAATGTATTGACATTTTTAGGTATAAAGATATTTTTCTTTTCTTGACTCCATAACAAAGGTCCAGAATACATATATATATTAAATATCACTCATTTATAAGTTGAGGCCAAAACTAGAATTAGACAAAAATATCAGAATAAATTAATAAGTCTAGAAAACAAATTTGAAATCATTGCTTCTATTGTAACCCTGTTAGATAATAGGATAGAACTGTCCAAGTCTTCTCAAAATGTTTGATCAACAAAAAAACAAACAAACAAAAAACCTAGCAAAACTTGATTTTTACCTAGCTAAACACTGACCCAATTCAACAGTTTTCCAACAATAACTTGAAAACAGTCAGTACATAAAACGTGCCTTTCTGGTTCACTTCCACTGAAATCCATGATTAAATGCCGCTCATGATCAGAGTATCACATTCAGCTTCGAAAAAAAACAATTCTCAAGACTTTCTTCAAGATGTGCTCCGGGTGTATGTTCTTTTGGCTCTAAATGTAACAGGCATTTTTCCCAACTTTTTTTTTATCCTCACCTGAGGACATTTTTCCATTTTTTGTTTAGATAGGGTGGGAGGGAGAGGAGAGAGAGAGAGAGAGAGAGAGAGAGAGAGAGAGAGAAACATCGACGTGAAAGGGACACATCTAGTGGCTGCCACCTGCACGACCCATCCAGGGCCGGGAACAAAATGCAACCGAGGTACGTGCCCTTAGCGGGAACCGAACCTGGGTCTCTCTGGACCGCAGGCCAATGCTCCAACCGTTGAGCCAAACCGGCCAGGGCCCAACTTTTAACGTGTATTTGTATTACATACTGTATAACCAATCTTAGAAATCAACCACTGTAACAAGAAATAAAGATTCTAAAGAGGCACTGTTCCCCGTGACTGCCCCTTTGGCTGTACAAGTCCCTTGGTCAAGTGGATGAGAGCAGAGACCACACTGATGTAATGTCCTGGCCATGTAATGTCAGGGCGGAGGGACAGTGGAAAGACGTGGTCTGAAGGCGAGTTGCATAATCCCGTCTGGTTCTCTGAGCCTCCGAGGGAAGGGAGAGGCTATGATCTGCCAAGGAGAGTTTGGCTGCAATGCTCCCGGAGGCTTGGGAATGGATTCTAGGGTCCTCCCAAATCTGAATAAGAATCCACAATGATGCAAGAGACTGGGCCCGTCCCAACATCTTTGGGGTTCAATTGCTATCACCATTTGGCCACCGAGAGGAGGGGCTGTTCCAGGCTTCCTTACAATCACCACCCTAATTATTACATTATACGTTCACACTTTAATCCCTTTATTTGCCTCACTGCCTTTCCGGGGCTAAGCGCACCCCACGGTGGGCTGCCTGCTGATGTCCCTAGCAGCAGAGACCTCGCCGAGTGCCCCCCAGCTGCCAGCCACAAGCACAGCCAGGTGGGCAAGTCCGGAGTGCTAATCTGGACAGTGACATCTCTGTCTCCTGCTCGGAATCCCTGCAAGTCGCTCTCTCCAAGGTGGAGCAGCACCGAACATATACATCAATGCCAAGAGTCACCCTGTGCTTTGCTCTGTTAAACTCTTGGTCGCGTTTCAGCAACCGAAGGAATCATCAGGCAGGGAATTCCAACTGTTTTATCCCAGTGATTTTTCAGTAAGTAACGACTGCACAGCTAATAATATCTCCGCTGGGTGATTGGTGGAATCTGCTGTCGGGAAACGGTTTCCAATACGTGTTCTCTCTTGAGAGATACATCCTGAGGACCAAAGAATTTAATCCTTCCCCCACTCCCAAAATTTGGTTTGCCCTCAAGGCAGGAATTTGTGCTTTTTTTTGTTTTTGTTTTTTTTAATCTTCACCCGAGGATATTTTTTCTATTTATCTGCAGATGGAGTGGGAGGGAGGGAGAGAGATAAACATCAATGTGATTGGGACACAGCTACTGGTTGCCTTGTGCAAGAGACAGGCCAGGGCTGGGGGCAAACTGCAACCGAGGTACATGCCCTTGACCGCAATCCAACCTGTGACTCATTGGTCCGCAGGCTGACGCTCCAACTACTGATAAACTGGCCAAGGCTCAAGGCAGGGATTTGTATGAGGAATGCACCTCAACCTATCAACCTTTGGAAATCACATTTGAATAAAATGTAGATTTAAAAAAACAACAACTCTCTTTCCAGCAAGTTGCCTGGCTCATGGTAGGTTCTCAGAAAATCCTTTTTGAAAAAGCGGGAGTGGTTTTCATACTGAGAACCCCCTTCTTATGTCAGGGTACATGGTATTTGTTGATTTAGCTCAAAACATTTGCTTGTCTTTGTGTAGGGAGACCCAGAGCTGTGTCAACCGAGGTAACAAAATCAAATTATGAACATTTTAAATGTTAAATCCTCTATGACTCCAGCTAATACTGTTGACAGTGGCTGGTAGAAACCCAAGTTCTAGGAGTGTGTTTCATTCCCAAGTTTCGCAATTTTATAGATAAACAGCTTGAAGAGATGTTTCCAATGTTCCGAAGTGAAGAGAAGCTTTGCATAGAGACTACTGTTTTCGCTGACTTTACGTGTGATTTTATATTTCATTTTATCCTTAGTATTCAATATATAGATGAGAGGAAAGAAAATAAAGAACCATGGGTGGCCCTGGCCGGTTTGGCTCAGCAGTTAGAGCGTTGGCCTGTGGTCCGGAGAGACCCGGGTTCGGTTCCCACTAAGGGCACCTACTTCGGCTGCAGTTTGTCCCTGGCCCTAGTTGGGTTGCGTGGGTGGCAACCACTCGATGTGTCCCTTTCACGTCGATGTTTCTCTCTCTCTCTCTCCCTCCCTCCCACTCTATCTGAACAAAATATCAATAAAATGTCCTCGGGTGAGGATAAAAAAAAAAAAAGAACCATGGGTGAAAGGTTTTTATAAGAAAATGCTAATAGCTCAGCGGTGTGGCCCAGTGGTTGAGCGTCGACCCCTGCACCAAGAGGTCACCAGTTCGATTCCCAGTCAGGGCACATGCCCAGGTTGTGGGGCCTGATCCCCAGTGGGGGGCCTGCAGGAGGCGGCCAATCGATGTTCTCTCTCATTGATGTTTCCATCTCTCTCTCCCTCTTCCTTCGTCTCTCTCTAAAATCAATAAAGAGGAAAAAAATGCTAATAAAATATGGTGATGAGAATCCTGAAAATGTGAAGACGCGGCTAGGAAAACATTGAGTCACTCCCTGCCAACCCCCACCTGGTTGTGTTAGTTAAAACTATGAAAGTCTGTGAAGAGGTGAGGTTGAATATCCACTCTATTACATAAGGGTTACCATCCTGAAAACCCTTTAAGTAAGGGCTTTAACCCTGTGTTCATCAGCCACACGTCCGGGAAGGCGTGTACAGACAACACAAAGTAACAGGGTGCGACACGGTCTATTCCACTCGGGCCACCAGAATCAGATGGAGACACCCTGCCTTCCCAGGTGCTCTGCAAAGAGGGGCAGGAGACGACGCCCCGTGCTCAGAAAGCATCCCTAAACCTTTGGTGAAAATATTAAGATGGATTTGCGTTCCACACACGTCATCTCATTCACACTCTAACAACCGGTACATCGCCAAGTTCTGAGACTGATTTCCGCTGTGTCCAACAAGAGACCATGAAGTGACAATGGTCAGTGGGCAACCAGTGGCCACGTGGGATAGAGAGAAGATTCTCAAACTTGGGTGAGCATCAGAACACGCGGATCACCTCGGGGGCTTGGCAAAACCCAAACGGCTGTCCCTGCACCCCAGGATTCTGATTGAGGTGATCTGGGTGACGCCTGGGTGTTCGCATTTCTAACACGTTCCCGGGTGACGCCAATGCTGCGGGTCCAGGGCCCGCATGCTGAGAACCTGTTATTGAACCCGGAACAGCAGGGTCCTTAGCCTCAGCTTTACACAGAACCTGAACTTGGAAGCTTCCGGAATCCACCCTGTTCTGGTCACACACAAGGCCAATCAACTCAGAAAGTGTGAACCCTGGTATCTTAACATCTCCAGGTGTGTCCAGGGAGCTAGCAAGACTAAGAATGACTGATACGGGGCGGGGGGCCGGGGGGAGGGCACAGTTGTCATAACTGTATAAGAAGATACATTTTGCAAACCACTGAGCAGAATGGAATCACTGGTGGGCTGAGGATTCTCAATGACTAATTATTCTTTCCTTCCCCTATTTTCTCCGAAAGTTCATGACAAAGGATCGAAAAAAGTAAAATATAATTTTTGTTAAGAATATAGATCTGTAGCTTTCTAAATGAGCTGTATTTGTGGATCACTAGTTTAGCAGCACAGACAAATGTCAGTCATATTTTTGACTCTTTTCTGTGGGAAAAAAATATTGTCATTTCTAAATCTGGAGCTCTATAAAGGTTTGGGTATGCCTTGTATACACTGGAGGTGTACTTTATAATTTGGTATAATTGGGAACACTTTTCAAATACAAATTCACTGAAAAGGTGGAGAAAGTATATCCAACCATAGAGACAGAAAGAAAGTAGCAGATAATTAAAATTGTCCAGAGCAGCAGTTCTCAAAGTCTAGTCCCTGGACTAGCAGCATCAAACCCCCCTGAAATTTTGTTCAAAACATAAATTTTTAGGCCCCCTACCTACCGAACCAGGTCTGAGGAGTCAGAACCTCTGGGATGGGTCCCAGTGATTTGCATTTGAATGAGGTCTCCAGGTGTTGTCATGCACCCTCCCATTGAAAACCACCGGCCTGAAGTATTTATTTTTCCCCTGCATCTACCTTGCTGTACTAATAGCTGTGCTCTTGGGTTTCTGCCCTGCCAGCTTCACTCTGGAAGCACAATTGACAGGGGGCAGTGTATCCTATAAGCCCACTATTGATTTCACTCTATCTCTATTTTGACCTCAAGATAGAATTAGGCAGCGAAACTAACAAGGATCAGGACGAGGGAAACCAACCGAGCCACCACCGCCTGAAGTCGGAAGAGGGTAGGGGATGCCCAGGTCCGAAACTCACCTTGAATCGTCCTCTTGAAGAACGCCTTGCAGGCTTCGCACGACGCGACCCCGTAGTGGTACCCAGAAGCGATGTCGCCGCACACCAAGCACAGTCTCTTGGGCATCGAGTTGAGCATGTACTCGCACTTGGTCTGGGGGTCTTCCACAATGGTGCTGGAGCAGTCGTCATACAGTTTCCGAACGGGCCCACTGCCTCCCAGGATAGGACCAGACGGGTAGAGAGGTGGCGAGTCAAGTCCGTTCTGATGGCCATTCATGGTTGAACTGTAGCTCCCACTCGCGTCGGAGGAGCCACCGGGGCTGTGGTGGTTGACGCTGTCCGTCAGGGAGGCCGGGCTGGAGGGTTCCGTCTTGATGAAGGACGAGCAGCTGGAATCAATGTGTCGATCTTTGTTTGACATTCTGCAGAGAAGCCTGGATTCAGGGACAGACAGAGGGAGAAAGAGAAGGAGAAAGAGAAGGAGAGAGCGTCAAACATGGAGACCAAAAGGCGTAGAAACAAAGGGAAGGCAAAAAAAAAATTGAGAACGTGAAAGGAAGGGAACAAAAAAAAAAAAAAGAATTCATATGTCAAAGACATTGCTTTTGAAGAATGCTGCCTAAGACTTAGGGGCTTCCGTCATTTATTCTGCAGTCAGTATCTCCTGTTCTACAAGAAGGGAATCACCATAGGCGCTTGACAGAGCTACATAAACATGCCCACACAGCCATGAACCAAACTCTAATGGGTTCCTCTGCTTTCATCGTACCTTTCTCTTGGAAAACAACAGTCAGTATCTAAATCAACCCTCTAGCTTCCGAAGGCGCCCATGGAGGAAGCATGATCTGCAAAGTCCGCACCATGTTTGAAATTGTACTTCCTCTCGCTCCACTTTTCCCTCCCATCTTGGGATCCTGCGATCACTTCCTCATGAGCGGAACCAAACTCTGATTTGCAACACTGAACAGGTGAGTCCACGGCTCTGTAATTAGCATGTGTCAGCGCACCTCCGAGAGCATAGCTGTGCCTTGTATTGATCAGAGACACAGGAAATGCAGCCTCAATCACTTTGCTTCTTTATTCAAATGGTTCTGTGTGATAGACATGGACCGCTGTAGAAAGATACCAAGGATAAAATTCTAGCTGGTATTTAAGGATTACTTCCTGGAGCTCACAGAACTTAGTGAAACGATCACCAGCCCTATTTCGTGTGTGTGTGTGTGTGTGTGTGTGTGTGTGAGAGAGAGAGAGAGAGAGAGAAAGAGAGAGAGATCTGCCACCGTTGGAGAGACGAATCTGTAAAAGCCATTTGAGCCTACCATATACCTGTACGTCCATAAATCTGATACTTTATATTCAGCAAACTAAGAAGGTATCAAATTTTGTACTGGAAAAGAAATGACATTTGTGATGGTTCCTTTTTTACCCCATCTTGTGGTCTTTTTTTTTTTTTTTTTTGGTACGTGCCCCTGGCAGGAACTGAACCCAGGACTCTCTGGTCCACAAGCCAACGCTCCAACCGCTGAGCCAAACCGGCCAGGGTCATCACGTGGTCTTTTAACATGATACCTTCTGGGCCCTGTCCTGTATGGCGCAGTGGTTAAATCTTCAGCCCATGCACCAAAGGGTCATGGGTTCAATTCCTGGTCAAGGGTATGTACCTGGGTTGCAGGTTCAATCCCTGTCCCCAGTTGTGGTACGTGTGGGAGGCAACCAATTGATGTGTCTCTCTCACACTGATCTCTCTCAAACCCCTCTCTCCCTTCCACTCTTTCTGAAAGGCAATGGAAAAAATATCCTCAGATGAGATCAACAACAACAAGAAAAACCACGACACCTCCCGAAAACAATTATGTGAACAGAAATTGTGACTACCTCTCTTATCTAGAAGGAACATACTGCCTGTCTTTCTCTTTGGGGCCATTAGGGACTCAGTTTCTGCGAAGGTAATTAGACGAAAAGGTGTCATGGGTCCTGTGTCCTTCCCGCTCAGCCACAGTGCAAAACCCCTTTTAGCAAAGTCCCCAAGAACGTCCTGAGAGCCCACTACGGAAAGAAGAGGTGACAGTTGAGAAAGAGACTTAGATAATTGCTTCCCAATGGGAAGCTGATTTATGGGACTCCCCCAGGGAATGGTCACTCACCAGAATTTGGGGGAATAGTCACAGCGTAGCCAAATGGATGCAATTATCTCTTTCACTATAAATCTAGTGATCTTTTATCATTGTACAAATGCCGTGCCCTCCTCCAGGTCGCCCTCCCCGCACCGAAGAAAACTCTGGAACTTCCTACGAGAGAATGTTCGCCGTTCCAAGGAGAAGGTCTCCAGAGAAAGGATTCGCCTCATAAGCAATATACTGCACCGTGGACACGGTGCCCTGCCTTCTCAAGTTAGGCAATATCAGGGTGTAAGAAAAGCAAAGGAGGAGAAAGTCCCCCGCAGAGGTCTTGCTGGTGGCCCACCCACCTCGGTCGTCCTTTCCACTGGAACAAGCCAGAGGAGAGCATGGCCCTGGACACCGGTGTCCTCTCCCGCACCTGCAGCGTGTCCCCGGCACTGTTAACGAGCACGGTAATTAATAGGTCGCTCTCCTCCCCTCCTCGGGCTGAGCTCGTCCCTCCAGCCAGCGTGTGAAAGAAAGCGGGTCCCCCTGACTTACAACAGCCCTGCAAATCCCTTTTAATTTAGAGCACTTACCCACCACACTTCACTTATTACCTTATAATTACTGGACTCCTCGCACATACATTATGATCCGAGGCTCCGGCGAGAAGTTATTAGGGTGCTAAAACGCGGCTGCCCCCTGCCTCTCTCCGGCACTGAACTGCTCACCGCGAGGACAATTAACTCTCTCGCCTCGGCCCGCAGGCTCCTTGTCGTCCTCTTGTATTTGTACTTTTCCGGGCAGAGCTGCTGTGAGTTCCCTTCATCACAAACCATACCCCGATTTTTTTCAGACCCTCTTTCTTTCTTTCTCCCTTTTCTCGCATCATCTATGGTCAGTTGTTTTCCACCAGTTTTCTCTCTCCTGGGCTTGGGCTCCTAGACTTCCCCAATGTGCAAAACTCTCCATTAAGCGACAAGGTCAGACATGACCCTCCCCCAAGAACAGTGACTTGTTAAGTCACTAAATGCTTATGTGTCTACCGTATGCTGCTCGAGTGCCTGAAAATTTGGGAGTCTCCAGCCAGCTGTCTCCTCCAAAACCTCTGTCCGCAACTTTGCAGAAACCTAAATGCACGCGAGGAAACTGCAGGGTGTCCCGGAAGCCGTTCATCTGCGGACTGTTTTCCCGACCCCAGTTCTCGTCCCTTCTGCTGGAAATGAACCCGAACAAACCACATTTGCGTTGAAGCCTTGCTGCAGTTGCTTTTATTTTATTATTATTATTTTTTTAATTTTCTTTATTGATTTGAGAGAGAGAGGAAGGGAGAGGGAGAGCGAGATAGAAACATCGACGAGAGAGATCATTGACTGGCCGCCTCCTGCATGCCCCACACTGGGGATCGGGCCCACTACCTGGGCATGTGTCCTGACCGGGAATCGAACTGGCGACCTCTTGGTGCAGGGGTCGGTCCATGCTCAACCACTGAGCGACAACGGCCGGGCTTTTTATATTTTAATTTCAATGTGTTATTTATTTATTTTTGTTAAGCCTCACCCAAGGATATTTTTTTCCATTGGTATTTAGAGAAAGTGGAAGGGAGGGAGAGAGGGAGGGAGAGAGAAACATTGATGTGAGAGAGACACATCGATTGGTTGCCTCCTGCATGACCCTGGCTGGGGCTGGGAATGAAACCTGCAACCCAGCCCTGGCCAGTTTGGCTCAGTGGTTAGAGCGTCAGCCTGCGGTCCGGAGAGACCCGGGTTCGGTTCCCGCTAAGGGCACGTACTTCGGTTGCAGTTTGTCCCCGGCCCTGGTTGTTCGTGCGGGTGGCAGCCACTCGATGTGTCCCTTCACATCGATGTTTCTCTCTCTCTCTCCCTTCCTCTCTCTCCCTCCCACTCTATCTGTACAAAAAATGGAAAAATATCCTCGGGTGAGGATAAAAAAACAAAACAAAAAAAAAAAAAAAACCTGCAACCCAGGCATGTGTCCTTGAACAGGAATCAAACCTGCGACCTTTTGTGCGCAGGCTGATGCTCTAACCACTTAGCAACACCATCCAGGGCTTTCCTTTCGCTGTATTATTTTAATTTTAATTATTTTAAGTTGTACACGTTTCTTTTCAGACACGGACAACCTCCTTAATGAATACCTTTGCCCCAATTAATATAATAATAGCCAAGTTGCCATTTATCCAGTGCTCATTGGGTGTTAGACTCTAACCTGAGCACTTTACAAAGTATTATGAGATTTACTCCTCAAGACAACCTGGGGGAAGGTGGTATTACATTTTAGGGCATGGAGCCTCAGCAACTTCCTGGAAGTCACATAGCTGGAGAGTGGAAAGGGTGGGATTCGAACTCAGGTCTGACTCCAAAGTCCAGTGCACACATCTTGAAGCCAACAGAGAGATTTTAAAAGTGTTCACTGACTTCTTAAAAATGGCCAAGCAAGCAGGGATGCAGGTGTTAGGTACAGAGATCTAGTCCATCCACAGCTCAGTCACGAACAGAAAGTGGCCAAAGGGACCACCCCGCAGGCTGAAGGTCGCCCCGTGGAGTCCCCTCTGCAGTGTGGGAGCAACACCTAAGCAGAATCTCTGAGAGAATACAGTTGTCTCCTAATGGCTCCTTAGCTCATTATACTGAACATTTCTTCGAAAACCATTCCATTATACCCTAAAACTACAGCGGGTCTTAATTCTCTCCCTCTCTGTCTCTGGGATTCTATAGCTCTATTATTCAAGCCTGAAATATTCACAACTATCTATAAATTCAATTGTCAGCTGGTGGTTTTATTCTAGACTTCACTTCAATCTAAAATTAGAGGCACTAAAATTCGCATTAACTCTAAGAGGAATGTAGTGAATAAGACTTTATTTCAAAAGAACACCTTTTTGTCAGAAAGAGCCATTTTCAAGATGATGGCTTTATCTGTAACCAGAGAGAATAAGCCCAATTCCGCACTGTGCTGTTAATACAGGAATTTCAGGTCACATTGGATTAATAAAAATCTGAATTTAGTTAAGAATTATGAATAGAAATAACGTGCTGAAAACTGTGGGAAATATTTATTTTAAAGCCTTAGTATGGTTGCTTTTATTTTAAGAGAAATGATGAGCCCTGGTTGGGTAGCTCAGTCAGTGGTCCTGATACATCAAGGTTGCGGGTTCGATCCCGTCAGGGCACATACAAGAGTCAACGAATGAATGAATCAATAAGTGGAACAACAAATCTCTCTCTCTCTCTCTCTCTCTCTCTCTCTCTCTCTCTCAAATCGATTTAAAAAATGAAATGATGAGAAACACAAGGAAGCAAGACTAATTT